TTGTAAGGACGAAAACTATTATGTAGACCAATGGTCTCTGGGGAATGCAAATTTTCTCTAGATGATTTTGCCCGATCATTACGTACATTTTCTAAGCAATTCAAATATTCGTCGGTAACCCCACCGGTGATATAATGCCCATCAAATACCGAACAATCAAATGTAATTTTCGGATTGAACTTTTGACATGATGCAATTAGGTCCTCGAGATTCTTAAACAATGGAACAGAGTATTCAATAAAATGTGAATTTTAAACCATCTAGAGGCAAAGAACCCACTCCCTTACCTGATATATCACCATGTCAGCACCAAGCTCTTTTGCAATCAAATCTTCGTCACGATCAAATGCTATGAGCTCTCTTCGAGAAGGCATGTCAATACCGTAAACATTGGGAAACCTAAATTTAATTTTTCGACAGACAGCATTTATGAGTGAATCTTGCAACCAATTTCAATGTGAGGGTGACATCATTAATCGTACCTGATCGGAGGTGCACATGATGCAAAGTATACCTTCTTTGCGCCAGCATCACGTGCCATTTGAATAATTTCTTTGGAGGTTGTACCCCTTACGATTGAATCTATTAATTTTTTTTTTTAAAAAAAGTTCTTTTTAACAATATTCGTATATATACACGTAAATGTATGAGTGATAGATAAAATACCGTCAATTATCAATACGTTTTTGTTGGAAAACTCCAGAGCCATCGCGTTTAATTTCCTTCTTACATTTTCTCGACGCATCTTTTGTCCAGGCATTATAAATGTACGACCGACATATCGATTCTTGATAAATCCTTCGCGGTAAGGAATCTTCAATTTGTAAGATGTTTGAAGGGCCGCCACGCGACTCGTGTCCGGTACCTGTCAAGAGTAAAGATGAAGGTAAGCGCACGTTTGCAAACATTAACGTGTATATGTATGTTAACGCGTGGCTACCGGAATGACGACATCAATGTCCATATTGTCACCACATTTTTTGATAACTTGGTCGGCTAAATGCTCACCCATTTCTAATCTTGAACGATAGACAGAGATTCCATCGATAACGGAATCCGGACGCGCAAAATAAACGTACTCAAATATACAAGGTGCACACTTTTCCCGTTGCAACAACTGTCGTTTGGTCATTGCCGTCTTTGTGATTATGACGGCCTCGCCTAATTACGATCATCATGTTAGCGATGTGATATGCTAAGATAAGTGGTAAGTTCAAACTCACCGGCCCCTATGTCTTTAACATCGGAAAACCCGGAAGCGTCTAATGCGACACTTTCGGATGCGAACATGTAGTCAACGCCAGCAGGACCTCTCCGTGTACCATAACATATTGGCCTAATTCCATACGGATCGCGAAACCCGATAATTCCAAATCCTTTTATAGAAAATAAATACGCGTCATTATTCACCTATTATTTTCATTACTACTACTATTATCACAATCAAATTGATTTTAAAGAAATTACCGGCAATCATTGCTACACATGCGTAACCGCCTATACATTGTTCGTAGATGCCTCTTATCGCGGTAAAAATATCGTCTTCATCAATTCTGGTGATATCGATAAATCAAGATCATTTAGTAATCTGATGCATTAACGACATTCACCTGCATGCACCTTACATGAGTGCGTGATAACGGTTTACACATACATTGATCCTTACCTTACTTTATCAGTCATTTGTAAATTATCCGCAAATATGTTCAATAACAATTCTGAATCGGAATCTGTGTTGATATGGCGATGAGCCCTATAATCAAGGAGATTCTTTAATTCGGTTGCGTTGATAAGGTTTCCATTCTGAAAATGAAATTTCGTTTTTTGTTTAAATCTGATAAGACATTCTTTGTTCGCGTGCATTAATTCTTAAGATGCCAAAAACAAAATAGGCATTGTCGCTGTCGGAGGCATGCTAGACTTTTATATCATAAAAGGATCTCATTCTAAAAACATAAACGTACATGAGCAAACACTATTCCGTAAGGACTGTTCACATAGAAAGGTTGCGCTTCAGAATGAGAAGAGCTTCCGGCCGTGGGGTAACGAACTATGGACGTGAAAGAAAGAAGCATTATCACAACAAAAAAAAAAGTTGAAGACAAGTAAAATTCCCTGTCGATTATCAAATTTAAAATATCCTACCATGACCAATGCCGAGATTTCCGACTAGATTTTGCAGATGTTCTTTATTGAAGACATCCCTTACCATGCCGTTTCCTTTACATTGATAAAGACGTCCCTTCTGCCCGCATGTAACAATTCCAGCTGCATCCTTTTAAAGATTAGAATTCTGGATATTTTTATTCATTTACTTGTAAATTTTTCACAAAATCATTATCCTTTGCAGAATTACCTGCCCTCTGTGTTGCAATAGCAGCAAATCTTCAAATAATTCAACGCTTGCCGAAGCAGTAGGATCCGCAAGTAGTATCGCTAGTATTCCACACATTACTTTTTCGACGAAACGGAAATTTTTTTCCAACCCTTTATATAAAGAAATTTTTTCACGTTGTGCGCGGACAAAGCATTTCTATTGGCTGATTAAATTTTTGATTATCAATGGCGCATTTCTTTAAAATAGCTATGATAAGTAAATCTGCACAAGATCTCTCTACATTGCTCATTTAGCTTAGTGATCTTCGGGAACACTATAATGTATTCATCTAGTAAATTAATACACGTAAATTTCGCCTTTGAGATAATAATACTTATTTACGGTCAGGTGGGCATCGATACTCGTTTTACGATTTTTATTTATGTCAGGAACCCTGGAAGCGCGATTGTTTGGATCGCCAATAGTTGTACTCTGGTTAATAACTAATTTTAAATCGACTGTGTTAGTAAATAATTATTTATAATTGAAAAGCTCGTGCGAATCGGAACAATAGGACTGTCCGAAATAATCTTATGATTTGACGCATATACTGTATCTACACGTCAGTAGGCATGGAATTCAACGCCCAATTTTACCCGAAACGTCTGGTTGAATAGGTTACTTTAATTTAATAGACTTTGTTAGCTACATGTATTACATATTAACATTGATAGCAGTTGTCAATTATTAAAAACCAAAATTTTTTTTATCTTCGTAATATTATTGATAAACT